TCTATGGACTAGAGCCAATTCTGTCAGTAGGGGCACCACGGGTTCTGACAGACACAGTGACAGCGGGCACGATCAGGAACTGGGTGGCCCTGTCTGATGTCCGAGCACGCTACATGCGCTTCATGATGCCAGCCGCGCTGGAGAACCTGCACACCGCGCAGCTGCGAGATGCCAGGAGATATGAGCAGAGGCAACGCAAGGGAGAAGGGAAAGTGCAGAAGGGCGTATGTGAAGGACAGGAAGTCTATCTGAAAAGAGCGAAGCAGGACACCCTGGATGTGGGACTGGGGACAGTGCGGTGGAGAGTCAAGGAGGTGCGCCCTTCAGGAGTGCTGGTGCTGGAAAATGAGAAAGGGGCGCAGCTGAAGGAACACCAGACGAACACGGCTGTGATAAGGGGATCCGGGCCTCAGCGTACTGGTCCTGTGACCCGCGCTCAAGCTGCTCGAGCACGGGCACAGGAGGGGGCAGGGAGTGGCTGAGGCAGCACAAGAAGCCAAAGAGAGGAAAGGCATCAGATTACAGGACAAATGACAGGCAGAGCTGTTTCACAGGTGGCAGGCAGAGCTGTTTCTCCGACATCATTCCTATCGGCATCTGCAATGGTCGTACATCTCATTCTGGATGCTGTTCGAGTCGACTCAGAAGTCACCTTCAACCCCTCGTGCCTCCCTTCCCTCCCATCCACCAGGTGCCGTTCATATCGGCATCAGCAACGGACGTGCAGCTCACTCAGGGCGCCACCCGCCCCTTCTTCATGCGCACCGTGGCCAGCGATGGCGCGCAGATGGCCGCCATGGCAGGTGGGGATGAAGCGTGCCATATGCCAGGTGGGGTACTAGATGCCAGGTGCAAGTAGCGGCGTGCAGATGGCCGCCATGGCAGTTGAGCGAGTGACAGATGGCAGGCAGGTGCAGAGCACATGGCAGGTGCAGAGCACATGGCAGGTGCAGAGCACATGGCAGGTGCAGAGCACATGGCAGGTGCAGAGCACATGGCAGGTGCAGAGCACATGGCAGGTGCAGAGCACATGGCAGGTGGGGATGAAGCTCACCCCATTAGGTGGTGGCAGGCAGGTACGTACAAGATGCCAGGCGCCAGTAGCGGCAAGCAACACGCTGTTTGTATTTTATCCACAGCAACAATCGTCGGGACTATTGATCAAGTCGAAACCAAGTCCTCCTTCCTCCTCCCCACCCCCATCACCCCCGCGTCTCAACCAATCAGAGCTGATCAAGCGCTACAAGTGGCAGCAGGTGGCGCTCATTTACAGCGACGACCGCTTCGGCCGCAATGGAGTGGCTGCACTCACCTCACAGCTTATCACCATCCGTGTGAGTCACAGGGATGGACGAGAGAGGAAAGGTTTTACTGCTCCATTGTTCTTTTTCCAGTGTTCTCCTATCCCACTTCCTCCCGATTCCATGATTCGCCTAGCGGCACCTACACAACCCTCCTCCCTCCCCCCCCCCCCTCCCCCCCCTTTTTGTGCTCATTCCTCCTTGGTTAGAGGCGTTCCATAAGTTGTGCGGCGTTTGGTAACATTGAACCCTTGAAACCTTAAATATGGACTTGCTGTGTGTCAATCCATTCCTCCCTCCTTGATGCTGCTGAGACATCTCAATGCGAGGCTTGCGGCAGCGACATGAAACCCTAAACCCAAACAGTGCAGGTGGCCATGCCGCCGCCAGCCACACATGCAGCCTTGCCAACGCGGAAGCATGACTTGTGTACATGCTTCCGTCCCCCCCTCTCATGATGTCACTTTTGAGTCGACTCAAAAGTCACCTCGAGTCGACTCAAGAGTAGCCACGCATGCAGCCTTGCCAACGCGGAAGCATGTGTTGTGTACACGCTTCCGTCCCCCCTCTCATGATTTCTCACCTTGCCCCGGCCGATTCCAAGCTATTCTGTGCAATGGCTTACCTTGCCTTTACCAAAACAGGCGGATGCGGATGTGGCAGTGCAGGCGACCATGCCACTGTCAGCCACAGACGAGGCCATTCACGGCTACATGTCCTCCCTGAAGTGCTTTTCTGTGCTGTGTGGTACTGTGTGGTGCTGTGTGGTGCTGTGTCGTGCTGTGCAATGGGTGCCTTCTCTTGCCCTTTCCAAAACAGGCGGAGGCGGATGTGGCAGTGCGGGTGGCCATCCCGCGGTCAGCCACAGACGAGGCCATTCACGACTACATATCCTCCCTGGTGCCTCTAGACGTGGCGGTCTACGTGCTGCACGCCTCCGCCACTGTCTTCTCTATCGTTGTTGAAGCTGGTGGGTGGCGCAGAACAGATAGTTTTCTACATGTCTCACATGTCAGCCACAGACGAGGCCATTCACGAGCACATGGCGTCCCTGGTTCCTTCTACTGGACGTGGCACCGGGAACATGCCGCCGCATGTCCTCCCTGCTGCCAAGGTGACTTTTGAGTTGACTCAAAAGTCACCTTTTGAATCAACTCAAAAGTCACCTGGACGTGGCACCAGGAACATGCCGCCGCATGTCGTCCCTGGTGCCACTGGACGTGGCGGTCTACGTGCGTGCTGCACGCCTCCGCCACTGTCTTCTCTACCGTCGTTGAAGCAGAGCAGCTGGTTGCCCTGCTCTCCCCACTATATTCACTTTTTTTTTTTTCCCGGTTGAAGCAGGTGGATTCTGTAAGCAGCTCAATGAGAGTAATGAAGTAGAGTATTAGGGGTTGGGGCGTTGGCGCCCGCTACTCTTGGTGAAACCGGAGGTTGGGAGGCTTAGATTAGACACACCAGTCTTTCCGCGAGATTAAGCCTAAAAGGAAAGGACTAACACAGTGCAGTGTCTTTCTTCGTTTCACCAGGGATATAACTAGGATGCACACATTAATCAAGAGTGGGGAAAGGAAGGGTCTAGTGGTAGGGGAAGGTCTCAGGGCTACTTTAAGAGAGATTGAGCTCAACCTCTCTGGCTGTCCAAGTGAAAATCCCTGTCACGCGACCCGAGTCGTTCATGCTCTCAGCCTCACCGACTTTTGAGACGTCTCAAAAGTTGAGCTCAGCCTCTCTGGCTGTCCAAGTGAAAATCGCTGTCATGCGGCCCGAGTCGTTCATGCTCTCAACCTCACCGACTTTTGAGACGTCTCAAAAGTTGAGCTCAACCTCTCTGGCTGTCCAAGTGAAAATCGCTGTCACGCGGCCCGAGTCGTTCATGCTCTCAACCTCCCTGTTTACGCTCCCACCTTCACCCTCATCCTCACTCTTCACCATCACCCCCTATCAGCCAGGAAGTTGCGGCTGTATGCGCGGAGCAGCGTTTGGATTGCCTCGGATGCAGCAGCTGTCATGAGTTTCACGTCCAACCAACACTTGGATGTGAGTGGAGAGTGGTGCTGGGACTCTGGTGCAGAGTGGTGATTGTGAGTGGAGAGTGGTGGTGGTGGTGTAAGTGTGGTGCTGGGTTGACTTTTGAGTCGACTCAAAGGTTAACTCTGAGGCCGCAGCTGACATGAGTGCCACGTCCAGGCACTGTGTGGATGTGAGTGCGCAGTGGTGCTGGTGCGATTGGGGTGCTGGTGTGGCAGTGGTGCTGGTGCGAGTGGGGTGCTGGTGTGGCAGTGGTGCTGGTGCGAGTGTGGTGCTGGTGCGAGTGGGGTGCTGGTGTGGCAGTGGTGCTGGTGCGAGTGGGGTGCTGGTGTGGCAGTGGTGCTGGTGCGAGTGGGGTGCTGGTGTGGCAGTGGTGCTGGTGCGAGTGGGGTGCTGGTGTGGCAGTGGTGCTGGTGCGAGTGGGGTGCTGGTGTGGCTGTGGTGCTGGTGCGAGTGGGGTGCTGGTGTGGCAGTGGTGCTGGTGTGAGTGGGGTGCTGGTGTGGCAGTGGTGCTGGTGCAAGTGGGGTGCTGGTGTGGCAGTGGTGCTGGTGCGAGTGGTGTGCTGGTGTGGCTGTGGTGCTGGTGTGATTGCGGTGCTGGTGTGAGTGGGATGATGTGAGTGTGTCTTGTGAGTGCAGAGTGGTGATGTGGATGAATAAGAGGATTGTAGGTAAGTTTGCAATGTTTCGAGTGTTTGGTGGCTTGGAAGGCCCGCATTTTCTCTGCCCTCCTCGCCACTTATCCTCTCTCCTCTCCTCTCCTCTTCTCTCATCTCCTCTTCTCTCCTCCCTCTTCCTCTCCTCTTCTCTTTCCTCCCCTCTTCTCCCCTTTCCTCTCCTCTCCTCTCCTCTCCTCTCCTCTCCTCTCCTCTCATCTCATCTCATCTCATCTCATCTCATCTCATCTCATCTCATCTCATCTCATCTCATCTCATCTCATCTCATCTCATCTCATCTCATCTCATCTCATCTCATCTCATCTCATCTCATCTCATCTCATCTCATCTCATCTCATCTCATCTCATCTCATCTCATCTCATCTCATCTCATCGCATCTCCTCTCCTCTCCTCTTCTCTCCTCTTCTCTGACTCTGCTCGCCTCTCTCAACCCCACCCCACCCCTCTCTCCTCTCTTCCAGGGCCTCATCATCACAGCCAGTTGCATGTTCTCCTCTCCCTCTCTCCTCGCCTCTCTCAACCCCACTCCACCGCTCTCTCACCCTTCGATCACAGGGCCTAATCATCACAGCCACCCACGTGCCCTACTCCCCACACCTCTCATCCTTCCTGGATCGCTGGAAGCACCTCAATGCCTCGCAGTACCCTGGACTCTCCAAAGAGGTACACTACACCTTATGCTCGTTATAAGCTAGTGTGTGAGATTCTTCAGTAGCACCTCAATGCCTCACTAACAGTACCCTGGGCTCACCATGGAGGTAAGCCCTATGCCCTTCATGAACTAATGTCCGCTGATAAAGAATTGCCACCGAGACACTTCAAAGAATTGCCACCACTCATGAACTAACCTGTTTCTAGCTGAATCTTGCTTTTTATGTTCTTTGCTCCTCTGCTTAGGTATTGCCATTCTGCTCCTGACAGTTACTGTATCCCCTACCACACACCTCCCTCTAAATCCCTTTTCCCCCCACCTCCCTCCCCCCATGCCAGATGCCATCCCCATACGCGCTCTCGTCCCACGATGCTGTCACCCTCGTTGCACGGGCACTCCACTCTCTGCTCTACCCCTCCCCTCCTGCATCGACCAACTCCTCCTCTCATGCACTCAAGCAGACGCAGCAGCGGAATATAAGCCCCCAGCAGCAGAGTATAAGCCCGCAGCAAGAGCGGCAGCAGCAAAAGAGAGTGCAGCAGCAAGCAGGGCCGCAGCAAGAAGGGGAGGGGGGGGCATTCCAGCAGCTGGAGCTGCCGGTGCTGCCGTCCCTCCCCAACGGCACCCAGGATGCCCTTGCCCCACCACTCACCCGCCTGCAACGAAGTGCAAGTATGCCGCGCCTTGCCCCATGCGTCCTGCCCTGCCCCATGCCCTTGCTCCACCACTCACCCGCCTGCAACAAAGTGCAAGTATGCTGTGTCTCACTCGTACTCCTTGCTCCGTCCGTGCGGCTTGCCCGATGCGCCTCGCCAGTGCGCCCTGCCTGTTGCACCCTGGCATCATCCCCATCATCCCCATCATCCGTAAGATCCCTGCATCGCTTGTTTGCCTCCTCCGCCCTCCCCGCATGATCCCTGCGCCCATCCACCTCCACAAGTATACTGCGTGCTCCCCTCTACTCTACTCTACTCTGCTCTACTCTACTCTGCTCTACTCTACTCTGCTCTACTCTACTCTACTCTGCTCTACTCTGCTCTGCTCTACTCTGCTCTGCTCTACTCTACCCTGCTCTACTCTACTCTGCTCTACTCTACTCTGCTCTACTCTACTCTGCTCTACTCTACTCTGCTCTACTCTACTATGCTCTACTCTACTCTGCTCTCCTGTACTCTGCTCTACTCTACTCTGCTCTACTCTACTCTGCTCTACTCTACTCTGCTCTACTCTACTCTGCTCTACTCTACTCTGCTCTACTCTACTCTGCTCTACTCTACTTTGCTCTACTCTACTCTGCTCACTCTACTCTGCTCTACTCTACTCTGCTCTACTCTGCTCTACTCTACTCTGCTCTACTCTACTCTGCTCTACTCTACTCTGCTCTACTCTACTTTGCTCTACTCTACTCTGCTCTACTCTACTCTGCTCTACTCTACTCTGCTCTACTCTACTCTGCTCTCCTGTACTCTCCTCTACTCTACTCTGCTCTACTCTACTCTGCTCTACTCTACTTTGCTCTACTCTACTCTGCTCTACTCTACTCTGCTCTACTCTACTCTGCTCTACTCTACTCTGCTCTCCTGTACTCTCCTCTACTCTACTCTGCTCTACTCTACTCTGCTCTACTCTACTCTGCTCTACTCTACTCTGCTCTACTCTACTCTCCTCTACTCTACTCTTCTCTACTCTACTCTGCTCTACTCTACTCTACTCTGCTCTACTCTGCCCACTCTACTCTGCTCTACTCTACTTTGCTCTACTCTACTCTGCTCTACTCTACTCTGCTCTACTCTACTCTGCTCTACTCTACTCTGCTCTCCTGTACTCTCCTCTACTCTACTCTGCTCTACTCTACTCTGCTCTACTCTACTCTGCTCTACTCTACTCTGCTCTACTCTACTCTCCTCTACTCTACTCTTCTCTACTCTACTCTGCTCTACTCTACTCTACTCTGCTCTACTCTGCCCACTCTACTCTACTCTGCTCTACTCTACTCTGCTCTACTCAGTCTCTACTCTGCTGATCACATGCTTCGCTCGTTGCTCTATCTGTTGTGCTGCTGTGCTGCCGTGCTGTCGTGCTGCCATGCTTCCGTGCCCTTCCTCCCGTGTTGACTCCCTGTCGCCGATAGAATCTAGCTCGGAATAATATTTGCCCGCCTGCCTGCTCCAATGCTTCCCCACAATACTCCAACCCAACTACAGTAGGACCGGCACTGCGGAAAGCTCTTCTCAAGACCAGCTTCGACGGGCTGCAGGGCAGGTCATGTTTGTTGAGGAAAAAGGGGGTGTGTGTGAGGAGTCTGGGTCTGCGAGGAGAGTGTGTGGGGGGAAGGGGGGGGATGTGAGGAGAGGAGTGCGGGGGGGGAGGTGGAGGGATGTGAGAGTGAGGGGGAGGAAGTGTGGGAGAGAGGCATGGGCTTGCCCAAATCCTTGTGTCTCCGTACTCCTCCTCCTTGTCCCATCTCTTCTTCTTCTCCCACCCACCCTCATACGCACTAGAGGCGTCCACATTCACTGTACTTTCCGCTGACCCGACCCCCCACACCTATTCTCCTCCGCAGTTCCCTCATTTCCAATTCTGTCGCCCCCTTTTGTCCCCACTTCCTCCTCCCCCCACCTGCTCTCCTCCTCCTCAACCTTTCACAATCTAAACTGGTTTGCACCCATTCCTCTCTCCTCTCAGGATCGCACTAACCCCACATGGCGACCTGGCAGCAAGCGAGATCCGCATTTTCAACATCCAAAAACGGGCCCCCATGGAAGTGGCCCTCTGGTCCTCCTCCCTCGGCCTCGTCCCCTCCTCCTCCCGCCCACCCCCCCAATCTGCCCCGCCTTCCACCGCTTCCCCTGCTCCGCGCCCAGGGCCTGTCGCAGTCCCCAGCACACAGGTTAGTCGTTCTCTACCCTTCCTCCCACCCACCCTCTCGACCCTCCCCACCCTCCCCACCTTCATCGGCTTCCCCTGCGCCGCGCCTAGCGCCTGTCGCAGGCCCCCCCAGCACACAGGTTAGTCACCCTCCCTCGGCCCTCTCCTGCCATCCCGCTCAGCCCCCACCCTCTCCAGCCTCCCCACCTTCCCCTGCTTTCCCAACGTTGAGCCCAGACTCACTTCTAAGCTCCAGCTCACATCACAGTTTAGGTTTGAAACCTAACTTCAGTTTATACAGGTTAGGACCAACCTGCATAATTCGTGCTCAGTATGTTCTACCTACTTTGGAGGCATGAGGAAACAAGTAGCGCACCGTTTTTCACCCCAACATGAGGGCCCGTTTGGACGAATCAGCAAAAGCAGGTCACGGCAGGGCGGCATGCTTGACGTTTCCAGAGAACATCTACCTGGTGATTCTGTGAAGTGCCGTTGCCTCCCTGCTTTATTTGACCGTTCTAACTTGTGTGAATCAGTGCCGTTGCCTCCCTGCTTTATTTGACCGTTCTAACTTGTGTGAATCAGTGCCGTTGCCTCCCTGCTTTATTTGACCGTTCTGACTTGTGTGAATCAGTGCCGTTGCCTCCCTGCTTTATTTGACCGTTCTAACTTGTGTGAATCAGTGCCATTGCCTCCCTGCTTTTTTTGACCGTTCTAACTTGTGTGAATCAGTGCCGTTGCCTCCCTGCTTTATTTGACCGTTCTAACTTGTGTGAATCAGTGCCGTTGCCTCCCTGCTTTATTTGACCGTTCTAAATTGTGTGAATCAGTGCCGTTGCCTCCCTGCTTTATTTGACCGTTCTAACTTGTGTGAATCAGTGCCGTTGCCTCCCTGCTTTATTTGACCATTCTAACTTGTGTGAATCAGTGCCGTCGCCTCCCTGCTTTATTTGACCGTTCTAACTTGTGTGAATCAGTGCCGTTGCCTCCCTGCTTTATTTGACCGTTCTAACTTGTGTGAAACAGTGCCGTTGCCTCCCTGCTTTATTTGACCGTTCTAACTTGTGTGAATCAGTGCCGTTGCCTCCCTGCTGTGCCGCGCAGACTCCCAATGCTCTTCCCATCATCTTCCCTGGAGGGCTCACCCAGGTAGGAGGGAAGGGGGGAGGGAGTCCTACTGGTAGGGCAAGTAGAGGGAATTGGTATCGCAAGGGGAGGGAGTCACGCTGGTAGGGTAAGAGGAGTCATAAGGGGGAGCGAGTTTTGAGGCGCCTCAAGTGGGAAGCGGGGAGCGAGTCACACACTGAGTAATACTCGCAGCCTTGTTCGTTACTCTTGTTCACACTGAGTAATTCGTTGTAACAAATGAGTGCTGGATCAGAACGCTCGCAGGCTGGTGGCACTCGTTTCTCTCTCCTCGCTGTAGCACACTCTGGGTTTAGAACCTACAATTCACAAACGCTGCTCCTTCCTTCCAAACCTCTGCCAACCTCATTTTGCATACCTGCCCCTGCCCCTGACCATGCCCCTGCCCCTGCCCCTGCCCCTGCCCCTGCCCCTGCCCCTGCCCCTGCCCCTGCCCCTGCCCCTGCCCCTGCCCCTGCCCCTGCCCCTGCCCCTGCCCCTGCCCCTGCCCCCGCCCCTGCCCCCGCCCCGGCACTCGCCCCTGCTCCCGTGCCCCTGCTCCCCCCTGCCCCCGCACCCCCCCCTGCTCCTGTCCCGCACTCGCCTCTGCTCCCTGTCTCCTCGTGTGTCTTGCTGTCTCCTGCAGGTGCCAACAGGATCATTCCCCAAGACTCGCCTTCGAATCGCAGTGCCGAATAAACAGGTGCTTGCATGGTGGCATGGTGCAGGTAAGCAGATCACAACAAGTACAGTGTCCTTATCACACGTGCCCATATCACCACGTGTCCTTAACAGCACATGTGCGTATCAACAGGTTGCTTAGTCACCAGGGTATCTCTATCAACAGGCGTGCTTATAGGCAATCCGCTCATTTCCGGGTAATCGCATGTAAGGACATGGTGTATTGTAAAAAAACCAACTAAATACCTACCCTCCCATCCTCCTCCCCATATCTTCGCCCCTGATCTCTCTCCCTTCCCCTCCTCCCGCCAGCAATACAAGGAGTATGTGAACGTGTCAGACGCCCTGGGCGAGGGCAACAGCCGCTTCTCAGGCTACTGCGTGGAGGTGTTCCGCCTGGCCATTACACGGTTACCCTACAAGCTCGACTACGAGTTTGTGCTGTACGGTGATAAGGACCTCAGCTACACTCAGATGGTGCTGGCTGTCGCCAACAAGGTAAGGATCTCTCTTACCGCTCAAGAGGGAAGGTCCTCACGAGGTCTGGCTCTGGGCTGTGAGTGGGTGCTTCTTACATGGTGACAAGGACCTCAGCTACACACAGATGGTGCTGGCTGTCACCAACAAGGTGCGCCACTTTCTTTCCTCCGCATCAAGGTTCAAAAATACGACTCGTAAATTACGGTAAAAAACGGTTCGACCTTGCAAAATTAGGTTGGTTCAAAAATACGGTCGTAAGTTATGACCGAAATTTTGAAACTGGGTTTGTGTCTAGCGAATTTCGACATTTCCCAACTGTCACCCTGCTTGTGAGAAATTTCGTGCGCCCAAATCCACGCGAGTGTGTTTTTTTCGCGTAGCGTGGGGAAGGAGTAGGAGCAGATCTAGCCTAAAGGTAGGTACTACTAGGTAGGCTTAGCAATGGTAGTGGTGTAGCGGTCCATTATAGGCTTGTTTCTCTGTAGTGTAGTTTGTTGTTGCCTTCCTAGTCATCGTTGTAAGCATTCTTGAAGTTTCTGGAAAAAAAAAAAATGCCGCGAAAAAGTCCATCAAAAAAACGACCGTATTTTTGCCAAAACCACCGTAAATTACGGTCGTAATTTACGAGCCGTAATTTACATTTACCGTATTTTTGAACCTTGCTCCGCATGCCCTTTGCTGCCCTACGTTTCTCTGTGTTCATTTGTGTTTCCCTGTCCATTCCTGTGCTGGCCTGGCCTGGCATGCACTGCTCTCCTGCCTGGCAGACGTACGATGCAGCAGTGGGGGACATCACAGTGTTGGACTCGTGGAACAAGTCGTTGAGGTGCCTCAGCTCCCTGTGCCATGCTGCCCTGTGCTGCCCTGTATGTCCCTGTGCTGTCCCATGTTTCTCTGTGCTTCACCTGTGCTGGCTGGCAGACGTACGATGCAGCAGTGGGGGACATTACAGTGCTGGACTCGCGGAGCAAATTCGTCTTCTTCACCCACCCCATCCAGGTACCACCTACCCCATCCAGGGTCCAGGTACCACCTACCCCATCCTGGTACCACCTACCCCATCCAGGTATGTACCAGGCGGGGCCATTCCAGGTAGCGGCAAATGCCGCCAATGTGTATGTGCTACCCCGTGCATGTGCACCTACCCCATCCAGGTGAAAGAAGTGAATTTCTGAGACGTCTCAAAAATTCACTTCTTTCCGTGCGTGCTGCCACCCCGTGCATGTGCACCTACCCCATCCAGTTTCTGACTCATCATCACTCTCTTATTGCTGCTCTCCCCTCCCTTTCCCTCTCCCAGCAATCTGGGCTGGGAGTCATGGGCTTCTCGCGGCCGTACAGCAACCCCTGGATGGTCTTCTCTCCGTTCACGGCCTCCATGTGGGCGGTCACGGCCGCCATCTGCCTCACCACGGGGCTGCTCGCCATGATGCTGGACCGGCAGCGCACGCCCGACTTCCAGGGCCCGCTGCAGACGCGCCTCATGACGGCCGTGTGGTGAGTGGGTTTGGGTTTCAGGTGTGAGAGAGTAGCTTGAAGCTGCTTGCATTGCCACAGGGCTTCTGGCTGGCTTGGCTGCTCGCCCTTCTGCTGGACAGGTAGGCAGCACGCGCCTGACTTCCAGGACACGCTGCAGAAGCGCCTTGTGATGGCCGTGTGGTGAGTGGGTGTGGGTGGGTGGGCTGGAACCTGGTGGTGCTTCAGGTGTGCCAGGGTAACTTGATGCTGTGTGCAGTGCAGTGCAGTGCATTGCCACAGGGCTCCCCCCCTCCCCCGCCCCGCCCTGCTGCTGGACAGGCAGCGCACGCACGCCTGGCTCCCAGAGCACGCTGCAGAGTTGCGTCATGACTGACAGCCGTGTGGTGAGCGAGCGGGTGGGCTGGCTGGATCCTGGTGGTGCTTATGTGTCTCACACACCCCAGCACCCCCCCCTCGCACACACACATGCACGCTCACGCGCGCGCGCGTGCGCACACACACGCGCACACACGCACACACATGCACGCACACACACACACACACACACACACACACAACAGACGCGCACGCACCTTCACCCACCGTGTACAATTGGCTGTCCCTCTCACCCTTCTCCGTGCTTGCAGGTATGGCTGCCACACATTCTTCTCCATTCCTGGTGCGTCCTCTCCCCTCCTCTATCCACCACTCCCCACCTCTCCCCACTACTCCCGTGTCTTCCCACCCCACTCCACCACTCCCCACCCCGTCCCTTCTCTCTCCTCTCATGCTTCCTTGTCCTCCGTCACCTCTGTCCCCACTCGGCATGCTCTCACAAGTTAGTGCCGGTTCACTGGTTTGGCATGAAACCACTGAACCGGTGAACCTGTACTCTTGAGTCACATGTTTGGCATGAAACCACTGAACCGGTGAACCTGTACTCTTGAGTCACATGTTTGGCATGAAACCACTGAACCAGTGAACCTGTACTCTTGAGTCACATGTTTGGCATGAAACCACTGAACCAGTGAACCTGTACTCTTGAGTCACATGTTTGGCATGAAACCACTGAACCAGTGAACCTGTACTCTTGAGTCACATGTTTGGCATGAAACCACTGAACCAGTGAACCTGTACTCTTGAGTCACATGTTTGGCATGAAACCACTGAACCAGTGAACCTGTACTCTTGAGTCACATGTTTGGCATGAAACCACTGAACCAGTGAACCTGTACTCTTGAGTCACATGTTTGGCATGAAGCCACTGAACCAGTGAACCTGTACTCTTCTTGGGTCGAGTCAGAAGAATCACCTCAACAGCCAACGCTGCTTGACATGAAATGAAACTTCCAATTCAACAAAAAACGCTGCTCGACTTCCTTTCTTGATTGGATTGAAATCATTACTCAGTTACAAGCAACTGGTGTGCTGTGCTGTGCCTCTGTCAACTGTCTGCCATTTCCCCAATCGTCATTCTCGTCGTCGTAAGCAAAGGTATTCTTTAATATAGGCTCGCGTAACGCTACCGTCTTTGTGGTTGGTTGGTGCTGTGTGTGAGTGTGAGTGTGTGCCTCACCTCCCTCCTACAGTGTTCCGCATCAGAACGACGCTCGCAAGGGTGGTCGTATGTATCTGGCTGCTACTGGCCTTCATAATAGCCAACTCCTACGTTGCCAGTCTCACCTCCATCCTCACAGTGCAGAAGTTCCTTCCCCAAATCCTTGTGAGCCCAGCCTCCCTTTCCTTATAATCACCTGCATTGTAGTCAGTTTCCGTTCGCATTAAGAAAATATCCTCGTTTACCAGCAAGCAGTGGCCCTTTCTCGACACATGAGTGACCTCTACGCGCCCCTCATTCTCCCTGCAGAGTATACAGTTTTTTTTGTTCCCTGCAACGCCTCTCCATCTCCCTGCGTCCTGCACTTGCTCCCTCAGCCCACCCCGCCAGGGCATCTACTCTGCCCGCACTGTCAATTCCCCCTTGGGCTACCAGTGACATTGCTCCTTGGTGCACACATGCATGCATGCATGCTTATGCCTCTCTGTCTCCCTGCCACCTGCCCTTGCCTTGCACCCTCCACCCACCCCACCAGGACATCTATTCCGCCCTCACCAGCAATTCCCCCATCAGCTACCAGCAACACGCACAGTTCCTTGCTCGACTCATACCCCACTCTTACGCCTCTCTTGCGCCCTCCACTCTCCACCCCACCAGGACATCTATTCTGCCCTCACCAGCAATTCCCCCATCGGCTACCAGAAACACAGCTCTGCCTTTCTCTGCCTTTCACCTGTGCGCCCTCCACCCTCCACCCCGCAGGACATCTATTCCGCCCTCACCAGCAATTCACCCATCGGGTACCAGCAGGGCTCCTTCGTGCACACGTACCTGCTGCAGCTCGGTGTTGCCCCTGTGAGTGCCTCGTCCATATCTCTATCTCAGTGTGCGTCCCTGTGAGAATCAAGAGCAGGCTTAGAGCAATGCCCCTATCGTGTACCAGCAGGGCTCCTTCATGCACACGTACCTGCTGCAGCTCGGTGTTGTCCCCCGTGAGTGCCTCTTTCCCGTGAGTGCCTCTTTCCCGTGAGTGCCTCTTTCCTGTGAGTGCCTCTTTCCTGTGAGTGCCTCTTTCCTGTGAGTGCCTCTTTCCTGTGAGTGCCTCTTTCCTGTGAGTGCCTCTTTCCTGTGAGTGCCTCTTTCCTGTGAGTGCCTCTTTCCTGTGAGTGCCTCTTTCCTGTGAGTGCCTCTTTCCCTGTGAGTGCCTCTTTCCTGTGAGTGCCTCTTTCCTGTGAGTGCCTCTTTCCTGTGAGTGCCTCTTTCCTGTGAGTGCCTCTTTCCTGTGAGTGCCTCTTTCCTGTGAGTGCCTCTTTCCTGTGAGTGCCTCTTTCCTGTGAGTGCCTCTTTCCTGTGAGTGCCTCTTTCCTGTGAGTGCCTCTTTCCTGTGAGTGCCTCTTTCCTGTGAGTGCCTCTTTCCCGTGAGTGCCTCTTTCCCGTGAGTGCCTCTTTCCTGTGAGTGCCTCTTTCCCGTGAGTGCCTCTTTCCCGTGAGTGCCTCTTTCCTGTGAGTGCCTCTTTCTTGTGAGTGCCTCTTTCCTGTGAGTGCCTCTTTCCCGTGAGTGCCTCTTTCCCGTGAGTGCCTCTTTCCTGTGAGTGCCTCTTTCCTGTGAGTGCCTCTTTCCCGTGAGTGCCTCTTTCCCGTGAGTGCCTCTTTCCTGTGAGTGCCTCTTTCCTGTGAGTGCCTCTTTCCTGTGAGTGCCTCTTTCCTGTGAGTGCCTCTTTTCTGTGAGTGCCTCTTTCCTGTGAGTGCCTCTTAAATGTGAGTGCCTCTTTTCTGTGAGTGCCTCTTAAATGTGAGTGCCTCTTTCCTGTGAGTGCCTCTTTTCTGTGAGTGCCTCTTTCCTGTGAGTGCCTCTTTCCTATGAGTGCCTTGTTCACAATCCTGTTCACTACTGCCATGCCCGTGCTTCCTTTCATGCCGTTTTCAACGTCTTTCACAATGACACTACCGTGACTGGTCCCCATTCTCCCCACCCACCCCCCATCCCCTGTCCCTCAGCACATGCACGGAATTCCATCAGGCCAAGCTGGTATCACTAGCAGGGGAGAGTGAGTATGCATCTTCGCTCACCTCCGGGCGAGTCACAGTGATAGTGGACGAGAACCCCTACCTCAACCTCTTCCCCACTGCCCGTGTCCCTTCCCTTCCCACCCCTCTCTCTCCGTCCCTCCACACACCCCTGGAATTCCATCAGGACAAGCTGGTATCACTAGCTGGGGAGAGCCAGTATGCATCTTCCCTCACCTCGGGGCGAGTCACAGTGATAGTGGACGAGAACCCCTACCTCAACCTCTTCCCCACTGCCTGTGTCCCTTCCCTTCCCACCCCTCTCTCTCCGTCCCTCCACACACCCCTGGAATTCCATCAGGGCAAGCTGGTATCACTAGCTGGGGAGAGCCAGTATGCATCTTCCCTCACCTCGGGGCGAGTCACAGTGATAGTGGACGAGAACCCCTACCTCAACCTCTTCTCCTCTTCCTTGTGTTCACCCTCTCCCCTGGCTGGCAGGACAAGCTGGTGTCGTTGGCGGGGGAGAGCGAGTATGCATCATCGCTGGCGTCTGGAAGGGTGACAGTGATAGTGGACGAGGATCCCTACCTCAACCTCTTCTCCGCTGCCTTCTGTGACGGCGTGCAGGCGCCGCAGCCCTTCTCCATCCTCAACCTCGCCTTTGTGCGTGCAGTGTGGTGCAGTGTGGTGCTTTGTGTTGCAGTTTGGTGCACTGTGGTGCACTGTGCACCGTGGTCCCATGTGGTGCATGTAATGCATGTGCTGCATGTGATGCATGTGATGCATGTGGTGCATGTGATGCATGTGGTGCATGTGATGCATGTGGTGCATGTGGTGCATGTGATGCATGTGGTGCATGTGGCGCATGTGATGCATGTGGTGCATGTGGTGCATGTGATGCATGTGGTGCATGTGGTGCATGTGATGCATGTGGTGCATGTGATGCATGTGATGCATGTGATGCATGCGGTGCATGTGATGCATGTGATGCATGTGGACCGTGGTGCATGTGGTGCATATGATGCATGTGGTGCATGTGATGCATGTGATGCATGTGGTGCATGTGATGCATGTGGTGCATGTGATGCATGTGGTGCATGTGGTGCATGTGATGCATGTGGTGCATGTGGTGCATGTGATGCATGTGGTGCATGTGGCGCATGTGATGCATGTGGTGCATGTGGTGCATGTGATGCATGTGGTGCATGTGGTGCATGTGATGCATGTGGTGCATGTGATGCATGTGATGCATGTGATGCATGCGGTGCATGTGATGCATGTGATGCATGTGGACCGTGGTGCATGTGGTGCATATGATGCATGTGGTGCATGTGATGCATGTGATGCATGTGGTGCATGTGATGCATGTGGTGCATGTGATGCATGTGGTGCATGTGGTGCATGTGATGCATGTGGTGCATGTGGTGCATGTAGTGCATGTGGTGCATGTGATGCATGTGGTGCAGGTGGTGCATGTGATGCATGTGATGCATGTGGACCGTGGTGCATGTGGACTGTGGTGCATGTGGTGCATGTGATGGATGTGGTGCATGTGATGCATGTGATGCATGTGGTGTATGTGTTGCATGTGGTGCATGTGATGCATGTGGTGCATGTGATGCATGTGGTGCATGTGGTGCATATGATGCATGTGGTGCATGTGGTGCATGTGGTGCATGTGATGCATGTGGTGCATGTGGTGCATGTGATGCATGTGGTGCATGTGGTGCATGTGATGCATGTGGTGCATGTGATGCATGTGATGCATGTGATGCATGTGGTGCATGTGATGCATGTGATGCATGTGGACCGTGGTGCATTTGGTGCATGTGATGCATGTGGTGCATCTGGTGCATGTGGTGCATGTGGTGCATGTGATGCATGTGGTGTATGTGATGCATGTGATGTGTGTGGTGCATGTGATGCATGTGGTGCATGTGATGCATGTGATGCATGTGGTGCATGTGATGCATGTGGTGCATGTGGTGCATGTGATGCATGTGATGCATGTGGTGCATGTGGTGCCATGTGATGCATGTCGTGCATGTGATGCATGTGATGCATGTGGTGCATGTGATGCATGTGGTGCATGTGATGCATGTGGTGCATGTGATGCATGTGGTGCATGTGGTGCATGTGGTGCATGTGGTGCATGTGATGCATGTGGTGCATGTGATGCATGTGATGTGTGTGGTGCATGTGATGCATGTGGTGCATGTGATGCATGTGATGCATGTGATGCAAGTGATGCACTGTGGCATCACATCCCTATGCCTCGCTAAAGTGAATTGCATGCTTCCCTCCCTTCCTCCCTTCTCTCCGCTCCCTTCCTCCCTTCGCTCCCCTCCCTCCTCTTAGTCCTCTCAAATATCATATCTCCTCCCTCCCTCCCCTCCCTCCCCTTCCCTCCCCTCCCTCCACGCTCTCCTCTCCTCTCACCACCGTCACCCCACAGGCATTCCCCAAGGGGTCGCAGGTGGGGGCGGACATCTCTCAGGCTATCCTCCAGCTGGCGATGAAGGGGGAGCTGGAGCGGCTCAAGGAACAGTACTTGCAGGTGGGTGCAAAGGAAGAGTATGAGGATTGGTTAACTTGGTACTTGCAGGTGCGTGCTATCCCTCTTCAGAAGGGACTAAACTCCCCCCTCCCTCTTCAGAAGGACAGCTTGTGCAGCAACGGCCAGGCCAGCTCGGCAGTGTTGACGGAGGTGAACGCGCTCACGGCTCGTGCCTCTTGTCTCTTCTCTCTTGTCTCTTCTCTCTTGTCTCTTCTCTCGTGTCTCTTCTCTCGTGTCTCTTCTCTCTTGTCTCTTCTCTCTTGTCTCTTCTCTCTTGTCTCTTCTCTCTTGTCTTTTCTCTCTTCCCTCTTCAGAAGGACAATATGTGCGTTGACGATGAGACGGCCTCGGCAGTGTTGACGGAGGTGAATGTGCACAAGTTCACGGCGCTGCTCATCCTCTACCTCGTTGTCTCGCTGCTCTGCTGCGCCGCCTATGTGGGCCTCCTCATCTACCGCGGTTACCGCTACCACCACCGGTACGACCTGGTTACCGTTATCACCACCGGTACGGCCTGGTTACCGTTATCACCACCGGTACGACGTGCTTCGATTGACTCAAAACTCATCCTCTACCTCGTTGTCTCGCTGTTCTGCTG